CTTTCTAAATTCTTGTTAAATATTACAATTAACAGTACCTTCATCGTATATTCATATTATATTGTTCAACGTTATTATCAAAGAGTTCATCGTAATTACCATAATGTGTGCGGACATCAGCGCTGCAGATATGATCGAAATTGAGTATCTGCCGTCGCGTCTCTTAAATACAGATAGTTGGAAAATGTCCGTCATCGTTCTTGAAAACGTGTAATTACAATGGAATTACTCTGTACCTTGATGAACATACGTGTTTGGCAGTTGTGTAGAAAGTCAAAAACTGTTCCTTTTCTAAATCAATATTTATATACCAATTTAAAAAATTATGTTACTACGGTACTATAATTACATAACGTATTATTATAAAAATAGAAAGGATAAGATAAAGATATATCCCATTATGTTGATAGAAATAAAAATATATCTGTGTAATCATTTCTATTTAGAGGTGAAGTTTCATGACAAATTGGAATTTGTCATTATTCAATATTTCATATATTCGATAAATAAAATTGAAAGTTTTTTTAAGAACAGGGACAATAATTTTGCGGATGACACGCGATCGGTTTTATTGAGGCACTCAAAATGATAAGTATCGCGAAAGTTATTAGAGTGCCAAGTGCGAAAGTATCTTGCACCGCGATTCTGTATGCGATGAATGCATTTGCCTTAGTCACTCATTAGCCATTCTCGCGAAATCTTATCCACATATATCGTTGAAAGAACCTACGTCACGACAACGTTCGAGTCTTCGTCATTTGCACCTCTCGCATTTTACCGTGTATTTATCTGCGAATTAGCGAGGAGTAAAAAAAAATGTTGCGTGAAGCAGATAAGGAGCCGGCAGCGTTCCTGGTAGCTATCATGACGACAATTAACGCATTTTTCCGTGATATCTTAAGCGTAATATTCGAAAATAGCATTACGGTGCGTAATTATATAATGTATGCAACGTGTTACTATTTTAAAAGTCGAATTAAGCAGAGAGAATTTGGTGACGTGGAATTTCTTATTCTGCTATGTCATCTTTCCTTATAGCAACTGTCAAATGCATGATGAACTTATTTTGATTCATATTATTTTATTCAAGAAGCAACAATATAATTTGTGCATTACTATTATTTAGTAATGTTGTTTCAAAAAATGTAAGATTATTGCCTTATCTTGCGTAAAAATTTGAAAAATCGATACGATAAAAATAAAATATATAATTATAATAATATAATTTAAATATTTATGACAATTAACATATCCAATGATTAAAAAAGAAAATATAAAAATATATACCTAAATTTATAAACAAGATAAAAAAAAATGCAATTTCACTAGTAAATTAATTGCTAAAATTTTCGACCGAATAACAATGTTTTGTCAAATTTAATTTATTGTTAATTAATAAATTATTGCACTAAATAAGATAAAATATTTTTCATCTTCACTTAAATTTTAAAATAAATTTCATTAATTTATAGTAATACATTTTTACTACACAATGTTTTATATATTTTTGCAAATAAATGAACTGAAAAGAAATGAAAAGAAACGCTTAAGTGTATGCATTTTGTGAGAATAATAAAAACAAAACGACATTACTTTTTTGAACAACTTAAATATATAAGTAAGTAAATGTGATGTTTTTTTCCCTGTATTAATGGGATTTATCATTAGATGATTAATTCGACTAAAATCAAACATACAGTCAAGAGCAAAAATCACTGATAACGTGTTATACTTTTATTCAACTCGGGGATTCAAATCTGGACACTGTGAGAACACATTGAAATCAAAGAATCAAAAAATTCTTTATAATCTTTATAATCTTACGTGACAGATTTTTCGAAGACCGCACGGAACCACCTGCAATTATTTGCCAATATCACATGTCGCTCTTATAACTGCAGCGTGTTATTGGATATATACCGTGTGCATTTAATCGAAAATATCAGTTTTCACGTGTTTAGTGTCACAGATAAAAAAAAATATATATAACGAGCGGTATTTTATAAAATTGATATCATAGACTCGCATTTGTAGACAAATATCTGCAACTATATAATCTACGACAATTAAAGTTTCAAACAATTCGCTTTATCAGTATTCCGAAAGTCGTGACAACTAAATGTTATTATGTGGCTTTATTATCTGATCTAGCCACGCGACAGGCGTGGCTTAAAACCATTACATGCACATCCGTCAGACGAAAATAACAAGGAATAATTAAATTAAGGTGTATGCTTTTCACGAGATGCAGCTTTTCGCGAATAAATAAACAAATCGTCAAGTTGCATCCGTGCGTTAGATACGTTTCAAGGATAGCAAGGATTAAAAATCCACTAGTCACGATCACGATCACGATCATGATCATGATCATGATGTAACGGCATGGGATCGCCTTCTTATTTATCAAACAATATATGATTTGTTGTCGCTCCTTTTCAAACGGATATGACAAATAGTCGTACAACAAATAGTCGAGGCGACGTCTCGTTTGACAGCAATAAGTACATTTCTGTGTGTCTCATAATAATACATTTAATTATACATTTTTAAAAGAATTATACAAGTCATCACAAGGCGATATCTCATCATCTCATCGTTGTTCACAGCCATCTTGATGAGTAAAAATTTTTTGCTAATATACATACCTATTTAAAAAATTCTTATTCATCACGATCTAATAAAAAAAAAAAAAAAAAAAAAAACCGACGTTCGGAAATGGCTAGATATTTTAAGAAGAGACGGTTTGTGCCATCAAACGACCGTCGCTTCTCGTCGGCATGCAGCACAATTTGGACACACGTTGATCAAACTGTTCGCAACTTACCCTAGACAAGAACGAAAGTCCACTCTTCCAGTTGTTAGTATTGCGGTTGGCATGCGTTCAAAGAATAAAAATACAGTAATGTTAAAGTACTGCGGTGTAAAAATCATCCCGCGTATCTCGGTCACGAACGCATCCTTGAAATTATCGCGCCGACATTCGAGGCATGTTAGATTTATGGTAAACAAGGTAAACAGGATCTCACTTGTCGTGTCTTTTAATGACAATAATTTTAAGGACCATCGTAGATACGAGAAAGAATTCAACTCGAGTCAGCGAAAGGAATTGTCGCCTTACGTTCAATGTAAATATTAATTCTATATGATATGACGTCATATAATAATAACTCATCTTACATATACTGTCCCCCTCCCCTCTTGCATAAGAAATATATAAAGGTATCGACGAATTGAAAAAAGATTCCAACTAGCAGATTAAAAATTAATTTGTCAATTTTAACAGAATTTCTAATTATTGTAACGAAATTATGACTAAGTTTCTTTATTTAAATAATAAATTTGCCATTTTAAAGCTTTTTTTATTCATATATATCATAAAAAAACACTCGAAAATCCATAAAAATCTTTCGTTATCCAATTTATTGCAGTCTTAAAAATAATTCGGGTCTCTCTTTTTCTCTTCTTTTCTTGACAGGATGACGTCTTCTAAATCTGCTAAACACCAAAAATAACCGAGAGCTACCAGACTTTAAATCTCTTGTGTTCATCGATAAATAAAGTATCGATAGGTTAGATTGCCGAGACAAATAATCTCCAACAAGCTTTTTGTCTCTTACAGTTAAAATTTGCAGGATTAATAACTTTAATTATCAAAATTATTTCTACTATTACATATCTTTAATATTAAAACTTAAATATTCGCTTCTATTTAAAATTACGATCAGAGTATGTAAGAGTGTACAATATTTATCACATTTTTAAAAATTATATTTTTAAAATTTAATTATAAAAAAGTGTTCCGTTCAATATTAAAAAAAAAAAAACATCGTTAAATAAGAAAGCGTTGCTTTTCTAATTTTTATGAAAGAAAGAAATCTAGAAAAACGATATAATTCTATATATTAATTTCTTCTGTATATTAATATTAAACATTCTGAAAGTCGCGGTGAAACACATCACATTGTAATTTGATTTTGATATAACGGATTGATCATCAGAGATTTGATCTCCTAATCTTAAACTTCGATCGGCCTGTTCTCATTCGGCGCAATGCAATCCGGAATTGCATGCGTAGCCCAACGTGGCCTTTTATAAACGTTCGCGCGATAACGGAAATACGGCACGAGGAACGAAACGGCGGAATGACGGGCCGGAATGACGTGAGAAAACGAGAATGTGCCGATTGCTAGAGATCCTGCCACGTTACATAACAGTCCACAGTCCGCGAGGAGCGCACCTGCGTGAACTCGTGGTCTTTTTCGACTTGCGACCTGTTGCGGAGATCAAGCACGATGATGATCAAGCATTTCCGGCAAGATGCAGCCCAGTTACACCAGGTCCTTGAAATGACACGTTCGTTGCTTACTTCGAAGCGAGTTTATCGCACGTTACGCACTGTTTTCTGACAGTGACACATCGGCGCGACGATAAAATTAGGCATTGCTGCAGCACGGTTTGATGAAAGAAAAAAACGGAGAAAAATGAGAAATACCGTTTTCGGATTTCTCTTTTTTTATTAAAATTACGTTATTTTGATTTCACTACAAAAATAAAGATAATACATAATCCGTTTCTACTTGGTTTCGATCTAGGCAAAGCGATGAAGATATATTTTTCAATTCCGCATTTAAGAATTAACACTTCCTTTCTGAATTTGTATTAAAAAAAAAACTTGCTAATTCACATTTCGCATTTCATTGATCTCCCACGTTCAAATATTTAATTTTGACAACACAGAGAAATTGATCTATCAACGATTTAATTTTCTACGATACGAACAATATATTATAGCGTTAAATCCGTGCCGGAAAGATATCACGACTCCGTCGTGCTTCATGGTCGCCACGACGAATTACGATTTAATTAGCGATAAATTCATCGCGTGGTTAATTGCGAAACGCGCGCTCCCAAGCACGATTGGAAGCATTAGCTGTACCTCATAAGCTAGTCACTATCACGGAAATTCCAACCATGTCTCGAACACCGATAAAGTTGCCATTTCATATCATGTATTAATGTCACGAACACGGCAATGTACTCGGATATTATTAATCGATGCTCTTCATAAATTAATATTACTGAAGTAGCTTATTCGTGTTAATTTTTAATATATTTATTTTCTAAGGAACTAAGAATTTATTGGTTTATTGTACAAATACTCAAGAATTACTTAAGCGAAACGCCGTCTTGTCATTCCTGTTAAAAGACCAGTTAGAATACATTAAGCAATTTCTCGTAATATTTCTAGAATTTGTAATAAAAAAAAATTGTTAAAAATAATTTACATTTATTTTTATTATTACTTGATGATTTTCCTTTCTTTCAGTAGAGGAACGATACGTACGCGGAACATTTCTTTTTTTTTTTAACGTTCGCGATGATTTGCTGTAAGAAAAATTAAATGATGAAGAAAGAACGCGTGCAACGTAATCTCAACAAGCGTATCGCACTCAGCTTAATGCTCGCAATTCACGCGAGAGTCGACCTCTGTTAAAGGGTCAATATGAATCCTAATTGAGAGAAAGTGACGCACCATAAGAAGACTTGAGAGAAAAGTCTTGCGCGGAATAATCAACGATTCCGCGTATGGCAAATTAGGGCAACGCATAAATTTCTTAGGGAGAAGACACAATCTCGAAATGAGAAAGTTGAGGAATAAGGGAACGAGACAAGACCATCTGCTGTTTCGCTTGAGTAATCCTTGAGTACTCTAAGATAAAGAACACTTTATTACGGATCTTGAAAGCTGCATTATATGTGAGCAGTCGATATATTTAAAAGAAAAAAGAAAAAAAAAGACTATCAAAAACACCTTGATATTCCAGGCTTGAGAGATTTTCGACTTTTTTTTACATCTTTGATTACAAATGGTCGGTAATGAAGTTCTTCGTGCTTTCTCATAGAGAAATTCCTTAGGCGGCTCCTCATCGCGTGACTCATCAGATGATATTTTCATCCAACTGACGTAACACGCTCGATTGAATCGTTTAATAAGCGACACGCGTATCAAACAATGGACGCGGGGGTGTTTCGTTCGTGTTTCTCTTTCCCCGTTTCTCTCTTTTATCGCAACTGCGATGCGATAAGTGGCCCGATTCTGCGGAGACCGCGACACGACGTGTCCTCGTTTTCTTTTTCTCCTTTTCTTTTTTCTCAAATCTCGCCTAGTAAGTTTTACGAAACGGTTGACTCGTCTGCGAACGTTATCTATTTCCTGGAGATGAAAATATCATGCGATGGAATACCGGAGAATCCATTTTTTATACGCAGCGTTCCAGATCGCGTCATAGATTCCTTGAATCATTCGCAATAAATCTTTCTTAATAAAGAGAGATTGAAGGTGAAAAAGTCTTTCAAGAATTAAATTCCGAAGGTAGAAATAACATGGGAATGTTATTGATTAGATTTCAATTTTAATTGACTTTATCTGAGCAGATTTGTCTGTTTGAGAATTAAAGATATTCGAGTTGTTGAGAGTCGAAAGTCTACGACGAACAGTGACCTGCCTCGATCCGGAAAATGTCGATTCCAAATTGCTCAAAGAAGCCAATAGGTGAAAGATGGCCCAACAAGTGGAAGGTGAGATTGAAATACAATTTATATATTATTTGCGTAAAAGTGATTTTTATACCTCTGTATATATATATCTGCGTTCAAATTCATGTTTTAGTCTTCTTTAACTGATTTTTTTTCATCACCAATTCTTATAAGCTGTGAAACTTTTCTATTAACATTAAATATATTTAAAATCAAACATATATAAAAAAATATATATATATATAATAAAAAATTAATAATCAATAATATTATCCTAGTCTATTTTTTTACAATTTCAAACTTTTTGGGAATTTTCTTCGAAACTATCTTAGTCATATATATAAAAATGGTCATTCCTTTATGATGGATCATCTCTGAAGTACGTTTTCTTCCCGTCATCTCTCAAATACGTTTTCTCTCGGGACAAGTTTCGGAACGTGTGAAAAGATCGTATCCCTTCGGGATCTTACCAGGCCGTCGTCGAACTCGTCGTCGTCCGTATCCGAGTCCGAATAGCCTCTCAGCTTTCGAACTTTCTTTTTCACCTCCTTCTTCACCACCCTCGCTATCGCACTTTCCGGCTGCGTACAATCGTCTTGTCATTAAGGGAAAATTTAACGAACATGTGTGAAATGTCAATTTGCTCATTACGGGAAGAGCGAGATAGACTACTACTATCGATCTATAATATGCAACAGTACGGTAAACTACGTCGAAAAAAAATGAGTCACGAATTAATTAGCGTATTACACACTTGGTGCTATCTGTAATAACAGATAACATAATTGTATTATCTAATCGGCGGTGATGCTAAATTGATGTCTTTCGGAAATCAGATTATCTAGAGTCATCAAGAAAAAGAGGCGGCAAATCTTTGTAAATAAAAAATGTCTCGCTCTCACAAATATTTTCCTCTCGCGATCTTCTTATATTTCAAGATTGAAATAAAATTCTCGATTGTGAGAGAAATAATAAAAAATTATCTCTTAATAGTTATGGCATAAATTAGATAAACTTGAAAATATGATTATGTTTATTATATATTTATGTATTTTTAAGTGAATGAATCTTTCGTACATTCAAACTTCATTATAAAGCAGAATTAAAAGCAAAATCGTTTCGAGTACAAGCCACAGTAAACGACTGCAAATATCTCCCTTGCATTAACACATTAACCTATATATTTTTCCCATCTTTGTTCTTCAATAGCTATTCACGTAGGAATTTAATTCTGATGTTTTATTTATCGAATGGAAGTGTGTTACCATCGACGCATATCTAAGTTCACTTTAAGGTTCAACGTACGAGCAACGATGTTGCGTAAATAGCTACTGTGATTCACAAATTCCGCGAGGAGCAACTCAAGATGGATTCATTTCTCTGTATTTATTTCTGAGCATAAAAAGCAAAGGACAAAACGACTTCGACAGCTTTATTCTAATACGTTCTAAATAAGTATACAATAATTCTAATTTACGATGAGTCTAGAAACCTGTCTTTTATTGTCTAAAAAAACATGGAAAAATTGCTGTTACATATCTATAAAGATAAAAAAAAAAAAAATGTAAATACAAGCCAGTAAAAATATGTTGCGAAATTGATTACGTGGTTCAGAGGATTCATGGAATAATCTTATCGCGTAACTGATCGAGACTAGCATAAATTCCATTTCATCGTGTGCAATGCGAAGATGAGCCGCGGAATAGTACTACGAAATAGACGCGATTGCTAAAAGGGGACCACACTTGTCGTCATTTGTTCCCACCTTGTGGGAACAAACGTTATTGCCATGCCAGCTGCTTTTCAGTAGTCTGGAACTACAAGCTCGCGTTTGTTCCAGCCACAGCAATTTTCACCTGGCGAACACCTGTCGCGTCGGTTTTTCCTCGTTTTCCTGGTCGAAGGCAGGTTCGAAAGTCGTCTACGCGAAGGGAAGGTTGAATCGTGTTCAACTAAGAACGAGAAATCCGCAAACAGGTTGTCAATGAGAAAATTACTGGAAAAAGACGATCGATAAAACGAGCAACAAATGACGACTGTGTCAAGGTGAAGGAGCATCGTCTCCCGGCATTAAGCGGTGAAAGCAGATGAAGTATCTCGTCTTGATCTACGAGTAACAGTACATGGACTCGAAAATTGGAACCGATCGTGATTGTGAAAAGGTAGTAAAACCGTACGATGCACAATCGCTTACCAAATGTCGGATATTAAATCCTTCAGGTAATCGTGCGTGCTGGTCGAGTTGTATATACACGGAAAGAATAGTTTTGCTGAAACATCTAAAAATTTAACCAGACAGATTAGAAAATAATTTTGAGCCATAAAAATAATTATGTAGAATGATGTCGCAAAATTTTTGACATTCTAATAATCAATTTTGAACATCCTATATAATTATTCTGATAGCCCAACAAAATTATTTTCAGACTAAATCTATATCTAAATCTATATATCTGACTAAATTTTTAGATACTTTAGCAAAACTGTTCTTTCCGTGTGCCTATTTTCAAACAAGATGAATCCTTGAGAATCCACCTGAATCAAACAATTTTAATATTTAAATATTATTAAAAAAAGGATTTTAGAACAAAATGTAATGAAATTTTAATATTAAAACTTCATAGTAAAAGAAACATGAAGAATATATCAGATATATTGAAAGAAAGAAAATCAATAAGTTATCTTTTGAAAATTTGCTAAAAGTTAATTTTTTTCAAATATTCAAAGATCTGAAAAAAAAAACGAAACAAAAGGCATATTATTTTTCATTAAAAATAAATTTTCACGGAAATATCTGCGATTCTTTCATCAATAATTTCTGACAGAGACGAGGAAAGTTTGCGAACTTCCGTGAAGTCTTTGAGGAACAGAAATCGTTAGAGAAACCGCACTGATCCCAGCCGTGATCAGAAAAAGAAGCGCAAAGACATCGAACACGTGTCTCGCACTTGAAAGACGATGACATCAGCATTTGTCACCGACAAACTAAGATCTAAGAAACCAAGAACTCTTTTATCGTCGCTACACACGAGTGGCAAAGTAAAGAACCATCTTTACTCAGCCAAGATGTTTGCGAGAAAGATATACAAATCGAAGAGACAAATTAAATATAAATAAAATAAGAAACAAAGAAATGTGAATTAAGAAAGCAAGACGTTGAATTATACGAGCGGATTGAGAATTAACGACCGGCAGCGAAATGCAACGCGACGCTGAATGCGTAATTAAATGAAGTTAAGGGAACGTAATCCTAGAAAGTTTCTCGACTGCCGCGTCTCGCAGCCACGTCTAAGAACAGGTTTCATGTGAATCGGCGCAACGTACTTCACGAACGGCGGCTATTTAGGAACCCTGCACACAACATCGTCGGGTTACTTGGCTGCGTGCAATTCCTTAGGAAGTCGGCAATTACTTGCTACTTCGTGCATTAATTCCATATATTTTACGTGCGCGTAAGCGTAAATCTGATGCACAGTCGACCGTGAAGATAGGCAAATTACACGCGAGGCCGATAATCTAATATATCTAAATCGAAATGGATATAAAAAGTTGCATAAAGAGAGTTAGATCGGTCAACAATCCTCGGCGACTTAAAACACGACAAAATTTTTCAGATAAATTTTGAAATTTATTACAAACTTTCTTGTTTTGCAAAATTCTCAAGACGATTCGGTATATAATCCTTCAAAGTCAAGCAATTTCTTCGAGAATTCCTCAAGCTCAGTTATCAACGTGATTATAAATCGGCGAAGAAACCGAGGATGTGAAAAATTACAGGCTCAAAACGTATATTTAAAAGGATAATTATTCGTCTGCATTTTACATTTTAGGCATCTAGCGTTTCTAGATATGCTCGACTACATTCTCAATCTACGATCAGGTATCTCGGGATTCCACAATACAGAGTTTTATAAAGCAGACGCTGTTCTAAGGTCGCGGACGGTCGGGTGTCGTGACGAATTGATAATTCATTTCCATAATTCGTTTCCATTTTCTTTCATTCCGCGGAGAGTACGGGTCACCATGCGCGAATGACGCGCGGATGTCACGCGACGATGATGGCACCGCCGTTACCACGGGGTTCAATTTTCACTGCCATCAACACCGAAAATTGATCACGGTGGAATTTCGCTTGCAGCAAGACACCCCCAAACCGCCAACGAAGCTAGCGCGAAAGCTCCCCGACCGGTTTCAATCCTCGCGCCGTGAGTTTCATACCACGAGTTTTGCGCCGCTTTAAAAATTATATTCGCGCAATCCAGCGGAGATCCGGTAATCCTTGTTACGCAAGTTTTCATTCACGCGGATCCGTATCGAGGAAACAGGATTCGGGAATGCATATAATGGCGATATCTACGGCAATATATAACGTTTAAAGACCTCGTTTGTTAATGGCATCATAAAATTGAAAGTATCTTTTGTATTCATTTTATATCATATTTTAATAATAATAAATATTATAACTGAGTACTCAATCAAGTTAAAGACTTTACTTTTTAGAGCATTTCGGTTGAATGTCGAGTAAACTGCGAGACGAGAAGATCAAATCCGGTCGGAGGGCGAAGCGAGGAAAACGCGAAGGGGACGAATACATAAGTATATCCTACCTTCTTGTAGAGTTTGATCCAAGTAAGGTCGCCTTTGTTATCGGTGTACTGGAGACCGAAAAACCACACCTCGCGCAGTCCGATCGTCTTGACGACCTGGTCAAACAGCTGCTTCCCGGTGGTCGTCTGCTGGATCGCGAACTCCAGCTCGGCGTCCATCGTCGTCACCCTCACGTTCATCTTCGCGAAGCAACGCATGCAAAATAAAACGATGCCGTCAAGTGGTGCGAGTGAAACGCGTCACCCGGTAGAACAGGGCTCAACCATTGTTATATCACACATTTCTTGTATACATATATTTAGATTACATATATTTACATATATTCAGATTTAGAAGTTTTATAAACAACATTATTCTGAATATCTTATCCCCCTGACTGCAACTTTCAACTTGATATTTTTTTTATATTTTCTTATCATTGCACTTGATAAAGTTATTATTTCTCGCGACAGAACCAATTCGTTTTATATTCCCTAATTCAATTTACATTCATTTGCATTTTTCTTTTTTCTTTCAAAAAACATCGTTTAAAAAATATTCTGCAAATATTTGAAAGATTCTTCATACACGGACATGAGAGATCTGAATAAAAAATCGCAAGATAGGTATTCCTTCGAAAGAGAAAATTTGTGCGTTGCGATATACATAATAAAATTTGAATTAATCACGCCGGTAACGGCCGGCTTACCATCTTGCCGCCGGCGACCATGGCTGCGAAAAATCGTTCACACCTTCACAACGGGAATCACGGGATGTATCGCGAGAGAATTCTCGACAAACACACGAATTCGAAACACCGAAATACGACACGACACACAAATGACGACGGCGGTGGCGGCGTTCGATAACGTTGATAGCGCAAAATTAGCTGATCGTGCGAGCGAGCGAACGCGATCGGCCTTCGAGCCGATCTCCCCGAGTCGAACAATGGGAGCTCGAGACACACAAGTGCAAGTGGCGGTGCTCTCCCCTCTCCTTTACCGGGAGAGGACGGGATGGAATGGGAGACGGGACGTAGCGCGCAGCGCGCAACGGTGCAACGCTTTTCCCGCTCTGAGTGAACGCGCGGCGCGCGAACACGGTCACGTGGGCAGCCGGTCGGCGACGCGCCGGCCAATCGCAACGCGACGTGCGTCTCGGCGATACCGAATGCCGCGGAAGGAAGCGACCCCGCCTGGCTCAACGTTTTCGGAAACCGTCTGGCTGATTTGCGAACGCGCAACCGTTGCAACCATTCTTTTTCATTCGCTCTTTCTCGCTCTCTCTCTCTCTCTCTCTCTCTTGCACGCGCGCGTTGATTTGATTGCATAAGTTTTCATTGCTACCACAAACTTCCTGAGGACGAGGAAATTTAAATATATGTGCTTTCGCTTATCTCTGCGCGACAGCCAACGCGTAGGTTGCTAATAAAATGCGGAACGTGGACGATGCATGGAATGTCGAATGTACCAACTTCGCTATTCATATACCAACTATTCATACCGACATATTAACTCATATGTCAATATGCAGAAATTTTATATATCTCTTATTTATCTCTTATATATCTCTTTTTCTTACCTTTTCTTACTTATCTTTTATATATCTCTTTTTCTCACCTTTTTTTAATACAAAATGCATATTTAAGTAACTTGAATAAACAGGTGTCAGGTCGTTAAATTGCCTACAAATGCAAAATTTGTTCATAAATATTGTAATATAAATCAATGAATTTAAAATTGTAAGTCGATCTAAAGTCGTCGATATTTGAATGAGAATCATCAAAATGTTCAGAAAAGATATTTGGGTATTAACATAAGAATTCGTGCAGGATGTTTTGGCGAATAAACGCGAATAATCGTGCTTCATAATGCCGACTGGAGGTCATTTCAGCAACGCCCCAGCCTTCTTCCCCTTCCCCTTTCCGTCTCCCATCACGTTACGTGGCGCTACTTATAAATTTATTTGCGACAGGTTACGATCGAAATCAAAGTCTGAGAGCACTCTTCGTCTCTCGTCTCAATTGTCTGATATTGCAAATCGTATAATTTCATGCAAAATGGCGTTCAACGGAAAGAGATTTCCTTTTTCGAAAAAACGCGCAAAGTCCGAAGGCTTCCGTCGTGCCGTGCAACTAGCGACAGGGTACTCGTCGACCTCTCGGATGCGTTAAAGGCCGATGCCTTTCACGTTGCGACATACGACGATATCGCATTCCTCACGCCATCGCCGACCTACACGATGCCGAGATCCACGATGCGCGCAATGAATAAAGAAAAAAAATACAAGTTCCGATTTCTCTTGACTGTCATCGATATCACTTTGCACCCGATTTTTACCTCTTTCAGTACAGAAGTTTTCTAACTTGTATGCGAGACTTTGTTTTCGAAGAGCTTTTGTAACCACTTTGATTCAAAATTTAAAAGGAGTAATAGTAATTCCAAATTAGTAACTTAAATTTGACTTAAAAAAAGAGAGAAAATTAAACTATTAAATAATACCTAAGTTAAACCAAGTTTCGTAAAAATAAAGCGAATAAAAATAAGAAATGATTATTTAGTCACTTGTCCTTAAAAAAAGTTAAGACGGAAATAGTAAATATAATTTATAGTTGGTTTTTCCTCGACGTAAATAGTAAATCAGTCCCATGTTATATAAGACGACCGCAACGGTTTTATGCAAATAAATATTAATTTGTTGGTTTTAAACAGATGCTATCTCCGTTTCGTGTAAACTGAATTTAGTAAAAGGATAAAAAATCGCATGCGCGAAGAAAATATAAAAACAGCTCCTTCCTAAATTTAGAACTAAGATAAAAAAATATGACAACAATTAAGATCATTGTCTTTTACAAATATAACAGTATGCAAATTACATGAGATTATATAAAAAAGAAATTCAGTTATAAATGGCAAAACAAATTTATAATACGAGTTAAAAAGTCTCCGCATAATAATTTTATTTTTGTTCTAAGTATACTCATTATAATGGATTTTAATAAAGGATATATCACGTAATGTTTACAAAAAAAATGACGTTTTAAAAGCACTGCTTCTTCATGGTCGGGAAAGACCGCAGTTTCCGTTCATTATTCATTACTCTGCCGTATCAAACAAAAAGATTTATATCTTCTTCCGTCTTGGGCAACGAGTGCAAAATATTTCCATCTAATGATATCGAAATCGGTTTAATTTATAACAAGTTTCTTATTTATTGAAAAGTGACAAATACATCGCAATTTTTTATCGCATGTTAAATTAAATCAACCGAAATAACGATTGGTTTCTTCCTCTTATTTGAAAAATAATTCTTAGAACTCTCAGAAAACAGATCAGCTCCGCTTTCTCAATTTCAAAATACTAGAATGCATAATTTTATATATATATATATTTAATATATATATTCAATTTGTTCTACTTTTCGATGGAGTTTAGTCTGACTTCTGTCATATATATATTCAATATATATATTCAATTTGTTCTACTTTTCGATGGAGTTTAGTCTGACTTCTGAAAGGCTCAAATGCCGCATGGCATGGCGAGATACAATCGCTATTTGCGCGAACAAGTTAAATATATATCTTATCGCACTGAAATTACTGCAAAGCGAACGCGTAACGTTTTAGTCGATGCCATAAAGCTCGATTTGACATTTGGCATTCCACAACTATCGAATATTACATTATATCAGTTACGACTCGGAAATACATTTAAACACACAAATGCAAATGATCAGAATTTTCTCGCTTCCCATTTAATGTCCTTTTCGCTTGCTTCCTATCTTTTTAAGTATTTCTTCACAACAAAATATTCAGCAAATTAAAATTTATTAAATATTATTTTATTATTCTCTCTTTCCACACATCAATTTTGAAACTAATAAAATGCGATTAAATCGCGCAATCGCGATATCGATATTTAAAATAAAATACATACCGACTTCGGCATTGTGGCTGCTGTGTTTTCTCGTCCTAAACAGCGGAATTATCCCTCTGAAATGAACAGAGAATATTGATTAAAATCTAAGTTTTTAAAGATGATTAACGTGTTAGAAATTGTATTCGGATTTGTAGATGTTATAATTTCTTAGACATTTTAAGCGGACGTTCTTGTGATTTAATTTTTATGAGACAGCATTGGCATCGTAACATCATCATTGAAAATGTGTTTTTAAACTTTGCTAATACTATGCAGCGTACAGACACGTTGGCAGATATATAATTACAGTGTTTGATTAGTCGCTTAATTATAACAGACTCGATTCGTTCTTGAGAGATGCTAAATAAGATGTAACGAAATCGCGTGTGCCTCTGAATAGAATTATCAGAAATCATTCTATAGTATCAGAAATAGACGTACGCATATAATTAATCCAGTGTAAACCAGATTTAAAAGAACCTAGTATCAACTTTACATGAGATAACAATTCAACAAGAAACTTATATTAATCATTAAAAACATTATAAAAATATCGATAAATTCTTAAAAGCGAATCCTAATTTAACTTTTCTTTTAACAAAATTATATTCTTTTCTAGATTGTCGAATTTTAAAATTAATTAAGCTTCAAAATAAGTTTTTTAACATGAAATTAAAATAGATAAACATCAAACATTGTCATTGCGATTCTAATAATCATAATTATATAATCGACGTTTGCTTCACAAATATTGTAGCTCATCACGCCATGTTAAGTATAATTTAAAGCACAATAACGGCAAAAAAATTATAAATGATCTAGTCAACAACACAAAGATGACGTAATCTATCTCCGTTTTCAATATCGATATATTTTATTAAATAATTTACAAAGAAAAAGATAAAAAATAACAGATAATAAAAATAAAAAAATATACAAATAATATAAGATCAAGAAACATCTTTCTGTCAAAAACCGCATCTTTAACTAATAAAATTAATTCGCGTAAAAATTACTTAAGCGTTTAAATGTCACAATAGTGACTGACGTTACTTTTAATTACCAGCGATACTTTGAACACCGGTCACAAACTCATTATTAAATGAGATACTTTCACTGTAATGACCCTTTAGTGACGTTTCACAATGATACAATTATTATTATCGTTGCCATAAATTACTACAGAAGTAGATATCTTTTAAAACTTAAATATAAAAGATCCGCAATTCCTACATTCGATATAACAAAACGCACGCCCATAAAAAAAATTCAGTACTGTTAGATTTAATGTAAGATTTATCTAAAAATCTCTATAATTAATATATGTAAAAAAATTATAGTTTCAGAATTAACTGAAAATATTGCTGAATCCGCTTCAACTAGATGAATATCACGCTGATATAGAAATAGTAAGCAAATACAAAGTTATGTAAGTCCCGTCATTACATGCAGCACACCTTAGACGCGAGATGCAATACGTCGTATTCGGTTCAACTACCTGTTACTTTAATATTCATTACTTTAATATTCTCGTGAGCTTTCCGATATCTTTCATAATCTCCCCAGATCGCAGACCAGTTCACCTCTTTTCAACAGCGGATTTAAAGCCCCAACAAGTCGCGACAAGTTCCCGCGTCAAAAGGCGCGGGGAGGGGGGATAGGCAACGGGTTGTGATGCAAATCCGCGTGACCGACATCCGCTGCGGCCGAGGAGTGCCCGATCGTCCGTGCTCTGCCCCGTCGTCTAGCATTTCCCCTTTTATCTAGGACCCAGCACCCAGACGTTCGTTGAACCCCGCCGTTATCTCTCGCCTCTCGCCTTTCGTCGTGCACTCGTCGTTGGCGAAAAGCCGAGACGATGCGGAGGATGGAAACGTGAGCGTCTATCGATAACAGCCGGAAGCGAATGAATAAGCGGATAATTACAATAATTACAACAATTAAAAATTATCCCTTTCAATCTGGAATTCCTTAATCTTTGTAACAATGTTACGTGAAGTTTAGAAGCTATATATTTGTAAATATATTTAATATTTATTTTTTATGGCTGAATGATTTGATTTTTATTTAAC